TGGATTGTAATAGTGGCTGCCAGAATAAGGAACCAAAAAGCAGGCGATTAAACACCAGGAACTCACTTCATTAGGCCACTTCCCTCTGACAAGGGTAGGCAGAGAAAAACCGAAGACAAACCATCTGCGTGACCGCAGTACGTGTGTATAACGGACCCGGTGGCTGAAACTGGAGTCTCAGCTTTCTCACGGTGAAGGTCCCACCTCTGGTTTCCATACATGTTCAGCGACTAATGTGTACGTGTGTGAGAGAGAAAAGTGGGGGGCGGGGCTGTAACTTGTGCTACACTAAAATAAGGATCAATGCTGCAACCACAGAGCCATGGCTTGGCTGGTTCCTCAATTTAACATCTTAACTTTTCCTCCCTGGGGGTTGGGGCACTGACCATATCTGAGAAACCGCCTTAGTTCGGCTTGTAAGGGGGACTGACATCCACCCGGCTCTGAAGCTGAGGAAAACGTCTTTTAACTCACTAAGTGGGTCACTTTCAACTTCGGGTTCTTCCGCTCACAGTTGAAACGATCTTTCGTGGGTAGACAGTCTTTAGATCTCTTATATTTGGCAATTACTGTGTAACTCCGGGTTCGTGCACTCGGGGGTAGAAATTAAATTAATTTATTCACGACTGTCAGTCACAACCCTAGAAAATGTGAATGTCACGTGACTGAAGTTCTTAGCTTCTAAGACTAAGAACATTCCCAGGACTTTAAAGGGGAAAAATCGTGCCGTATGGCCTGGGCCTGGTAAACGCCAGTGCCAGTCACAGGCAAGAGCCTGAGCACGTGGTGAGGAGGCCAGGAGCACAGCCTCTAATAAAAGCAGCCACACCACCGCTGCTCTTCTTGGGGGGAACTTACAACCGTCTGCACTCATCTTTAGAGCTTCGGCGTACATATGCATTATGGCTTGCTGTTTGTTCCTGGCACTGTCTCTGGAATCCAATAGTGGATACAGCACTCATCCAATTGCAGAAAATTAAACAAAACACACAAAGGAACAAGCCTGTTGTCACATGTGAAGATGAGACCACCGCTCGCCTCACGGGACTGCAGGGATGACTAAGGCTTTCTGATGGTCAAGGCCCTTGGAGAAACACCCAGTTCTAAGTGAGTAGGGCGCCATAGCTGCTCCATCAGGGTGATAATGGAGATTCCTCCTCGCTGCCCTCCCCGCTGGGGCTTGCAGTCTCTTACAAGATGGAGCTATTATGCAACTGATGGGAAGGCAGACGCAATGGTGGAAATTGGCAAACCAAACAGAGACAACAGGAAGAGTCGGTGGTGAAGACAGGAAGTTGAGTCAGAAGGAAGCTGAGGAAAACAACTGGGAGACGCCATCTGGGAACACCATGGCTTCAGCAGCTGGAGCAAGAGCCCCTAGGAGACGGATATCTCGTCAAGCAGCGGCTTCTTAGTGCGTGAGAAAGCCACCAGTTTTGATGTCAAAAGCATCGTCGCAAAATTGAAACTCACCGAGTCAGCTGACAACTTAGCTATGCATTTGATGGGCTCTAACTTCAGGGTTTTTTTTATTTTTTATTTTGCAAGGTTCAGTACATGAACTGAATAATGCCATCTTACTGGATATCTGTGGACTGGGAACCATCCAACCCCCACCCCAAATCCTGGGGAGAAACTTACTCACCCAGACAATGTCATTCTGCTGTGATGTCTGTCATGTCCAATGACTTTATTATCTGACCTTAACTCTTCTCAAACAGGAGCTGAATGAGGAATCTCTTCATTTTATCTCATAGAGCCTTATTTTGAGATTGGATTGCTATCTCCTCTGTAAGCGCCCAGTGGTCTGCGCTCCTTAGGTGGAAAAGGAAAGCTGACTTTGAGATTTTCCTAAGAACAATATGGAGTGACTCTGTAAAGTTCCCAGGATGCGTCCTTGTGTTTGCTGTCACAGACAAGGGCCTACCTCGGGAATATAGTTTGTGTAAGGATAGCAGGTAGAACTTCTGTGACCGTATTTAAAATAAAACGACGTACTGTGGTCGTTTATCTCTGAAGGCTAAGGTCACTGCACAATCGCTTGAAGTCAACATCCATTTGGTACGTGAGGCTGAAATGCAAAACAGGGCTTCAGAAAAGATGCAGAACGGCAGCTGCGATGCAGTAATTGCTGCTGCGTCGTCCTTTGCAGCGGTCTCTGCAAGGACTCAACGAGCCCTAAACTCGGACGTTAGAGATTTGCACGTTATGAAACAAGTTCATAAAAACGCCTGTGTGACAAATGTTCCTTTCAATCAGTTCTGCCTGCCAGGAGAGGTAGAGAAGGGAGTAGAGTTTGTGACTGTGGCAGGACCCAAAAGGGAAAAAAAAGAAAAAGATACAATCAAAGCTATACTGACCCTAAGGCAAAGCCTTAGGCCCAACCGAGAAGGAAGCAGCATGGGTGGGGGGAGCCTGTGGAAGACCTAGTTTTTCAGGTGATCCTTAAAAACAGTCAGAAGAGTTACAGAGATGATCGTTAAAGAAACAGTGGAGGGAACCTGCGGAACTTCCTGGTGACTTGCGGTCTGGGGCACCCAGAATGTGGGTGGGCAAGATGGCGGAGGGGGGGGCTGGAGGAGGAGGAAGTGGCATGAAACAAGGCTGCGGAAGTGGGCTGAGGCAAATTCGTGAAGGTACAAAAATTCTTGGTAAAACTATTAATGAGTCATCCCACACCACCGTTACATGAAATCTGCCAACGGGTGTCTTGCGATTTTCTTTCTTTTTCTGTCTTGAATTCCTTCTCTCTCTCTCTCTCTCTCTCTCTCTCTCTCTCTCTCACACACACACACACACACACACACACACACACACACACACGTGTTAGGCTCCCTAATCTGCTGCTCCGTGGCCCAGCAGGCTTCCTGGCAGGTGGGCAGGCCCCCACCACCACAGGCAACCCAGCTCTTGAAACCCAGACCACCCCTTGCCCCACCCTGACTCTTACGACCTTGGGCCAACAATTTCAACAACTAAAACCGCTCCTGATAGCTCAAGGCACTTAAGAGGATTCCGAGTGATCACGTGATCACGCGGCTACAGAAACTGAGCACTTAAAAGTAACCACCTTTGCTGCACTAGACCCTCCAGATCTATACACTCCATGTTCACAAACTCAACCAAGTTCAGACTGAAGCATCTTCTGAAACACTGGAGTTGGCACAGAATGCAGACTGACATCTTGTTATCATCCCCTCGTCCACGCAATACAGTCTTACACTGTAGTACTTAGGCATTCCTCAGGTATAAGGGACTGGGCGTCTGCAGCTTCGAGACTCTGCAGAGGTCCTCCTTTGGGTCTAATTTAATTGCACACATTGGAATGCAACGTTACTCACTGACCACCCTTCTCCAAAGGGTCCAAGCTAGAAGCATCAACCAAATGAAAACACTGGAATTTTTTCCAATACCGCTGACCGTTGCAAGGCATAGCATGCAATGGATATAAAATTTAAAACAGTCCTACCAGACAGAAACTGCTCCTGAGCTGGCTCCCTGAGCAGCCACTGCCAATGGCCTCAACGGTATCTTTGTCAGGGCTGAGGCCCGGAAGAGCCCTCCCTCATGCTTCTCGCCTGAGTAAGAAATTGTGCATTGGTGGCTGGCAGGTGAATGCTTCAGCAATCCAAACTTGGTTGGCATTAACTCTGCCTTATTCATTTTTACTCTTTCCCAAATGTAAGGGGGAAAAGACTGGCATTCCTTCATATCTTCATTTATTTCATTCTCATTACTATCTCTGATGAAAATATTGGAAGCTTTTTTTTTTTTTTCAGTATTTCTGGGCCCTTCCTCCAGAGACTCCCATTTCTTGTTTGTTTGTTTCTTTTCTATTTTTAAACTAGCCAGTTAAGCTCTACAGGTAAAGACTAATGATCAGTGCAACTTCCAGAAATTCATATTTATAGAAAAATGGAGAATCGCATTTAAACTGCCTACACAGACATTCTTTTGTAAAAGTTCCTCTAACAGAAACCAATTCTGACAAATTCTTGGTCCATTTGACACCAAGGTGTGTGTTGTCGAACCATCACATGCTTTGCTAATGAAGAAACCTGTCTTTGCTCTCATTTTTAAGTTACCCGGCTGTGGTACTTCTTGGCCTTAAGACACACTGGGCTTCAGCACGCATGCTGGACAGTTTCTGTCTATCATCTGTCCTGGGCTCAGCCAATCGGGAGAAGCAAACCAAAGCGGGTGGATGCCTCAGTCCTTCATGGCTCTATGCTGCAGCTGTGTGCTAGGATTTCCTTTGCACACAGGAGGCCTTCCTCCAGAATTCAACAGCGCATTCATCCACATGGCCTCCAGCCTCAGCAAATAACCCAGACAGCGCTACAAAAGTAGCACAAGCCACCCACACAGATTGTTTTGGATTTTAGAGACTGGATGGAAGAGAGGAGACCTCTAATTCTATGTAGTTAGGAAACACAGGCATGAAACCCCCGTTGTCAAAAACCACTCACAGAACCAGCCCCACGTTTGGTAACATGACCTAAGATGTTAAGGGAGCCACTGAGTGGCTATAAGGAAGTTTGGTTTTTTTTTCCTCTAAAGAAAAACAACCACAGAAGCTAAAATTAAACCACCCCCATTAGTATAACGAGAAGCAAAGTCTAAATGATCAATATGCATTTTCCCGAAAACATTTTAAAGTTGACCAAATCAGAGCAAATAGCCTTCCTGAAATAGAGCAGTCAGCAGGTATCAAAGCACGGTTTGGCTTTAAAGATGGGGAGAAAATAAGTTTCTTTACGGGGTGTGCTGATAACCTGATACCCGCAGAGAACTGGGCAAGAACCAAGCCAGAGAACATCATCCCCATTCCCCGGCCACCCTAGGTGGATGCAGGGGATCCTTAGAGGGAGGCAGGGCACCCAGGGCTCAGAGGACAGGTGCTCAACCGTTTCACGGTAAACTCCACAGTCCCCAGCAGCAGAACCCCAGCTGTGCCCCCAAACACTCCCAACAAACCAAGGAACAGGCAGCAACTTTACCTTGTAGAGAAACTGTCCTTGGTGGCACTGCTGTGTGGTCAGGGACGCTGGTCCTTCAGTTCTGCAGAGCAGCCCTGTCAAGCCCAAGCCGGGGTGTGTGGTCACAAGGCAGGAAGTAACTACGGTGACAAATCACCAGCCAGGAAAGAAATAGATTTTGTCTTTATAAGGACATTTTACTCAACTTTTTTTCCCTCTAGTCTCCTCCCCCCTCAAATCACCTGACAACAGGTCACAGTGAAATCCAAAAGCCACCTTCCACTTCCTCTTCTCTCTGAGCATTCTGCTCTTTCCCTGGGTCTCTCTCAGCAGGCCCTGGGCTACTTAAACCCTTCAGATCTCAGATACGGGAACGAAGGTCAGCTGGCTGGCCGAACTCTTTTGTCTGGCTCTAGTTGCTAAAAGCCAAACCCGGGAGCCTACCTACTTTCAACAGGGATAAACAAATTCTTCACTTCTAATGGAAGCTCTCAGGGAAAGGTGGTGTGTACCTGAGACACACTGAAAGGGATCCCCTACTCCCTGAACCCATTTAAACCCATTTAAACCCAATCCTTCCCACATTCTTAATGATGAACTTATTGGTATAAACTAAACAAAAGGATCTCTTCAAGCACAGGGCCTGTAGAGGAAGGTTTCTTCCTATATTATTTACTCATTCTTTTATTTATAGAACACCCATGTGCTAAGGATCTCTTTAACCCAATTAGAGAGTTCAATTATTTAGATGTTTCCTGTAAAGAACAGTGGTGGATCATAGAGGCAGCGATCGCTAACAGGCTAGCTTCATTCCTTCATACAGACTAAATTCCATCACTGGATTGAATCTGAGTTCCGCTGACTGAATATTGAGCACACTCATCTCTGCATTTCCCGGACTCAGTATGTTTCCAACAGTGACAGAGATGTTGTCATTTAGCCTTGGGGATGTCTGCTGCGGCTAGGCTCCTGGGTTAGATGGCAAAGATGACTTCTCATGCTCCAGGTATCGGCATCTTCCAGGAGCTATGTCTGCTGTCAAGGCATAGCATCACTCCCCGGACCGAGCTGCTCTGAAGACTTCCTTGGCTTTTCTGATTTCCTTAAAAAATGTTCTTAGTTTTGACTCCCAAAGTTGAGATCAAGTCTGTCAGTTTATCTCCCTCATCAGCCTGGTGAGGCAATCTTGTACTCAGAACCCTTCAGGGCTTCTATTGGGCAAGAGGGACTGCTCCAGAATGGGAAAACAGGGAGAAGGCTCAATTTTCTCTAGCTGTGGTCCAAAAGAACATTCTAGAAATGGTTCTGGTAAGAACCGACAACTCTCTTTTGATGCACCAGGCAAGAGTGAGATGGTGAGAAGGACCTCAATTAAGTGGCAAAGAGAGTTCAAGGGCACCTGACTTCTCAAAGAAATATCCAGATATTGTAACATAATTAATAAAAATCCAGAGACAGATATTGGGGTTCAACCTGAAGATCAGAAAAGCAAAAGATCCAGCCACTGGTTCTTACCTCTACCTCAGCCCAAAATGGCGATCCTACCTCCAGGAATCTCAGAATGAGACTGTGTGTGAGAGCTGTCTCCTCCCATTTTATAATCCTCTCTGGGATTATAGGCATGCACCACTACCCGGTTTCGATGGCAGCTAGTGTGACTAATGGGATTAGAAGGTATGTGTTACCATTATCTGGTCTGTAATGCTGACCAGTGGGGTTGTTTGACTCTCTGACCTTCAGGCAAACTTTATTTATTAAAATACTAATGAAATGCCACTACAAGATATTGCCCATCTTGGACCGACCACATGACACAGCAGTAGAAGGCTGGTGGTTTCCACCCCTGGGAACAGTCTTCACTCAGGGTCGTGCAGAAGGGCTCCGCAGATGGTCTTAAGAGGGTGTGTACTGACGTGCATCTGCCTGTATGTGTCTACATACTTGTGGTTTCAGAACGGAGTAAAGGCCAACAGCCATGCTTCATGAAAAGGAACACATTTTGTTTACCTGGGTGACAGAAAACAGGAACATTCTGCGTGTGCTTTTGCCTGATCACAGGAGATGGGAGGAATCTAAAAAAAAAAAAAAAAAAGAGGAAAAACATACTCAGGCCTCGGCTCCTCTAGTGTGTGAGTGTCTGCCAAGGCTGGTGATTGAGACAGAAAGAAAATAGAGCCCTTGCTCTCGGGGAGGAAGCACAAAGCCTGGTGCAGAGGAACGTGTAAGTCAATGCTCAAGAGAGGGCAGAGGAAACCAGCGTGTTGTAGCGTGATGGAGAGCAGGCCCAGATTTTGAGCTCGAATCTGGTTCTGGTCACAAAGACTTGGAGCCCCACTGGGCCTACACTGAGTTAGATGAAAGCCACCAAGCAGGACATGGCTTATAGTCACCGAGCAGGACATGGCTTATAGTCACCTAATGGACACAGCCCTTTCTCCCTGAGCATCAGCTCACCCTGCTCCTCCTCAGTCACCTGTCACTGCCCCCAGCCACATCCTGGATTTCACCATTCAAGCCCCTCCTTCGTAATCTCGCCACCTGCCTCTCTCCTGATGAAAATCTACCCAGGGGAAGCAGGTGTAGGGCAAGGCTTTTTTTCCCTCTCCCTCTCTTCCTGTCAAGGTTTAAAACTGCATATTGCCTTTATTGTGTTTAGGTATGTTCCTTGTCTATCAAATCTCTCCAAGACCTTTATCATGAAGTTGGCCTTACCCTTTCTGAGGAGTGGATGGGCGTGGGGGGGGGGGGTGGGGGGGGGGTAGGGGGGGGGGGGGGGGGGGAGGAGGGGAGGGAGGGGAAGCTGTGGTGGATATGTAAAATGAAAAGGAAAAAAAAACACCTTTAAGTAAAAATTAAATAAAATTGCTTGTGATGGTGACACAAGACAATAACTCTGGGTTTTGTTGTTTTTCCATTTCTTTGCAGACAGTATTCCCTTCTGCCCTGCACCCAGATACATCCCCCACCCTTGCTCCATCTGCTCTACATCTCCGCTGACCCCTCCTCCGCTGAGCCCCACCTCTCCTTCCCTTGCCTCTCGCTAGGCCTCTTGGGCCCCCCCCCCCCCCCGAATCCATCTGACACCAGGTCTGCTCTCGTCATGACCTCAATCTCCAAGACCAGATCACCCGCACAGGAGAGTGGCCGAGTAAAAGTTCTGGCTCAGGTAACTGGGGTCAAAGGCCAACTTTACTGATGAACTGGTTGTATGACTTTAGACAGATGACTGATTTCACTGGCCTCCAGATCTTCATCCAGAAGATGGCAGAAGAGCAGTGTCTGTTCAGTGCATCTGTTGAGAGGATTAAGTGCACGGAGGGGTAGTGATCTGGGAAAACTGCCGGTCACAAAGTGAGTGTTGTGTAAGCGCCAACTGCTTCTTTAATGTTTCTACCGGGCTGGGGACTAACCCCTTCCCATGGATCATCTTATTTATTCCTCACCCATAACACATACATTGGATATTCTTTTCTTTAGCTTAGCAGTATCTTTATTGGCATAGGACTCACATGGTAGAACACTCACTCCTTCAAAATAGGTTTATCAAACGATTCGATCTGTGTCCACATTATGCCATACAACTCAAGAATATTTTTATCACCCCCCCCCACAAAGAAACCCAGTACCAACAATTAGCAGCTACTCCCCCGCTTATCCGCATCTCCCACATCCTCAGCCATCCACCGTGACCCACATCTGTCTCTATGGATTTGCCTGCTCTCAACATAACAAATGGAACCATGGCTTCTTGTAGCCTTTTGATCTAGTTAAGCCAATGCATTGCTAGGTGGGCCTTGAACCCTCAACCCTCTTGTCTCAGCCTCCTGAACGCGACTGAGATGACAAGTGCACTCCTTGATGACCAAACACTCTCAGGTCTTTTTGGGTGTATTTGGTTGGTTTTCTCACTTAGCATGTTTTCAAGGTCCACTCATGCTGTAGCGTGTGTCACTACTACATTTTTAAGTGCATCCTATTTTATTGATTTTTGGGGGGGCGTTGCACAGACCATGACACATAAGTTGAGGGTGGCGGGGTCAGACAGCAACGTTCGGGAGCCAGTTCTCCTCCTTCACCATCTGGGCACCAGGAACCAAGGTCAAGTCAAGATTGGCACCAAACGCCTTTACCTGCTGGGCCATCTCACTAGCCCTTTGTTCCCCTAAAAGAAGGATGCCCCATGTTTGAGATTGTACCACATGTTATGGCCCCTTGGTCGGTTGGTGGCCATTTGGATGGCTCTACTGCTTTGGCACTATGAGTCATGCTGCTAGGAATGTTTGGACACGTATTTTGTGTGGCTATGCTTTTTGATCAAATGAATGTCCACATCATTTTAGAAGCTGCATATCATCCCAAGGTTGATGATAAAGCACCGCTCTTGACAACTCTCCTGATTTCTCTTCCTTAGAGACAACCATTTTCTTTCCCACTGTTAGCTCCAAACTATCTGATGCTGTTCTCACACTATATCTTGACTGCTTAGATTCATGTACATAAACATGAATATGTACCCTTATCTCTCCTTCCTATTTGGAAGCAAATTTGTTTCTCACCTACCCATTATCTAAAACAAGTTATAGCAATGTTTTCATTAAATCAATATTTTGTTTTTATAACGACTATCAAGACAGTCATAACTGGGCTGGGGAAATGGTTCAGTGGGTAAAATACTTGCCGTGCAGAGTGGTGAATTGATTTCAAATTCCCACACCCATGGAAAACCAAGTAGGGTCATATTTGTCTCTAATCCCAGCACTCCACACAGGGAGACCAAAGGTATCGATGGGAGAATTCCAGGAATATTGAGGGCATGGTTTATGAAATGAGGAATAACAAAAAGAGCTTGTCTCAAAAAGGTAAAAAGGAAGGGGTGACATCTGAGTTTTTCCTCTGACCACCTGCATGCACCCAGAGGCACACCCATGCCCACTCACACACATAAAAAACACATAACTTGGGCTGGAGGGATGGCTCAGAGATTAAGAGCACTGCCTGCTCTTCCAAAGGTCCTGAGTTCAATTCCCAGCAACCACATGGTGGCTCACAACCATCTGTAATGGGGTCTGGTGCCCTCTTCTGCCCTGCAGGCATACACATGGTCAGAATATTGTATAGAAAATAAATAAATAAATAAATATTTTTAAAAAA